GCACTTTTTATGAACTTTTGCGTTCCTTGACACCTTCTGCCCCTGTTATTAGTCGATTACATACAAGTTCAGTTTTTCTTTCGAGCATTCAGTCGAAAGCGCGCTGAACACTCTGATTCACAGAAAAATGCGTCATGTATTTTTCATGACACTTGTAAGTCATAATTTTTGACTCCTACTTTATTTAATACTATAAATTATTTTAAAATAGGCACAAAACGCAAATTAAACTAAATTTGTACAAGGCAAAACTGGTGATACACAGGGGGTCTGAAAGTTTTAAATATTTGTACTGTCAGTACGTTGTTAACCCTTTGACCATACCATTTTTACATTCATTTGGTAAGGTCAATAATGTGTCAACGTGACGTTTTGACCTATGATTATTGCAATAAATACGACGCTATTTTCTTGAAATACCCCTATCCTCTTCGTTGTTTTGCTAGTTTTGCATGTGGCTTTGCTTCTGTTTTCTTGAACTGTGAGTCTTCGTTATAGATTCGCGGAAACTGATGGACAACAGAAATAGTCGCTTGACAACGGGTAACCAAACCGACTCTCCAAAAACTCACAGAAAGTAAAGTTTGTCGTCGATCGATGGATAATCGATCAGTCGATAATCGGATCGTTTCCCTGTTGTAGAGTGCCAAGCGGTTCTTCGCTAAGCTCGCAGGAGGAAACCCTTTCGTCATTGCCGTCGTTGCGTAGTCTGTCAAACGGCAGTACGAGCGCCAGCCATTTGGCTGTGTCGCCCGAAGTACTGGAGCAGTTCAAGCAGGAAATACTGGCGTCTATTAAGCTGGAAATTGCACGTGCGAAAACGGAAATAATCGAAGGTATGGTGAGATAGGCTCAGTGGACTAGCTGCTGGCCGTTTGGCTCGTTCTGGTTGCAGTTGGGGGAACAATTTTGAGGTATGAAGGTTAGCTACGACAAATAAGCAGTCGCGGTGAACAGCGATGAGACTACCAGGGCGTAGCTGGGTTCAGCATCGAAAAGGTTGTTCCTCAGAAAAAAAT